CATTATCGAAAATGGTACGCTCTGATAGTATACTTCACAGAAACTAATATTCTGCCAGCAAATCAAGGATAGCACTTATGTCGATAGTTATTTCTGAGGTCTCTGAGCACTCTCTTGAACAGCATTTCAAACTAGTGTTAAAGTAACACTTTATGTATCACTCATAGGGTAATTAAAAACTTTATGGATTGGACAAACTGTAAGTTGAAAATATGACTATCTGTAATGTCACTGATATACATTGTTTTTTGGTTCATACATGTTAACTCTTATGTATTCTTGATGTATCACTTAATGAAAAACTTATTAAATTGTAAAAAAAAAAGATAGAGAGACCTGGGGAAAGATTTATTCTGACCATGATTGACTTCTGTACGCATTATTGTGAAGCCATACCTTATTCCACAATTAAAGTGCCTAGTGCGGCAAAAGCTTTGTTGACAGTCTGCCATTGCTGGGGTATTCCAAAGACTATAGCCTTGGATTTAGGGACAAGTTTTGTTTAGTGGCCTTATGCAGAATTTTTTTTTGACTTTGCCAAAATTGAACAGTGTGGCCAACAGTTTGGTGTAGTGGTTAAATGTGCGGACTCTAATCTGGGAGAACCGGGTTTGATTCCCCACTCCTCCACTTGCACCTGCTGATGTGACCTTGGGTCAGTTACAAGCTCTGGCACAGCTGTTCCTAAAAGAGCAGTTTGTGTCAGAGTTCTCTCAGCCCCACCCACCTCACAGGGTGTCTGTTGTGGGGAGGGGAAGGGAAAGGAGATCGTAAGCCACTCTGAGACTCCTTTGGGTAGTGAAGGGCGGGGTATAAATCCAATCTCTTCTTCTTAGTGGTCGCCCTCCTCTGTGAACCTCTCTACTTCAGGTTATCTGCCAATCTTAATTTTTTCTGACTTCTACAGAACTGACAAAAACATTTCTTTCCCCAAATCCTGTGAGGAGATAGACAAGTTGAGGGTAACAGATCTCTACAGCCTCTCTCCTACGGGCCTAAACATAGTCTGCTCTCCTGGCCTCCTTAATTCACAAACATTTTTATCTGACAAGCAGTTCTAGACAGGCATTACTCAACCCTCATCCCTCCCCAGTCCAGCCTGTGAGCTTTTTGGGGGGAGGGGAGGTGTCGCCACCTTGAAGCCCAAAGAGTTCTGGCAATATGATTTATTTGGGTTGGAAGGAAAAGCTTGTGTTCCCCAACCCAACAAATTAGTAAGCTCTACCTACGAACCGGAGGGGGACACATGCTTCCCCGCCGGAAGATTCTTGCTTGTGACACAGGAGCTGCACTATTCCGTCGCCCAGATGTGACGTAGGCACGTAGCCGGGTGACGCTCTGATAATGGGGCTGGAAATATTTCATATTTCCCTTTCCCTAGCTCCTCCTCTTTTTGTACTTCCTTCTCTCCTTCCCACCCCACGGCCAACCTGCATTTTTCTCCCCCTCTGTCTTCAGTTTCCCTGTCTCCCCCTCCAGCATCCTCTGCCTGGGAAAACTATGGCCCCGTTCTGTGATTCCGGCTACTGGGCCAGGCCAACCTGCATCCTAGAAAGCCCTCAGGGACTTGGCGGGGGCATCTCACTATTCCCTCCCCCCCCCACAGTATTTCCTCTTTACATCCATTCCCTCCTCCTGGCAACCCCCATATCCTCTCCCCTTTCCCTGACTCATTCTCTCCTTCTACGGCTGTGTGGGGCGGGGGAGGAAGTGGGCAGGAGGCTGGGAGAGTGATGGGGCAGAAAGAAAGAGAGAGTGGTGGGGTGGGGGACCCAAAGAAAGAGAAAGAGTGATGAGGCGGGGAGGCAGAAGAACAAAGAGAATGATGACGGGTCAGTGCCTAGATGCCTGTTGGAATGAGAGGCCTCCCCGCCACCCCACTTCTGCATTTTTCTTGCCAGGGACTTTGTGTTTCCTTTTCTGTGTTTTGCAGGGATTTTATGAGTTAGGCTTCATTAAGTGTGTCAAAGGCGAGTGTGGCACGTCTTTTTTTCAATTGTGTATAAAGTTCTAAATAAATCCTCTTGCAGAAACTTGAGGTTCGCACCTGGGGCCATGAACATAAGAACATAAGAGATGCCAATGTTGGATGAGGCCAAAGGCCCAGCCAGTCCAACACTCTGTATCACACAGTGGCCAAAAATACCAGTGCCATCAGGAGGTCCAGCAGTGGGGCCAGGACATTAGAAGCCCTCCCACTGTTGACCCCCCCCAAGCACCAAAGATGACAGAGCATCACTTGCCCCAGAGCCCCTATCTATTTGTTGTTGTTCAGTCGCACAGTCGAGTCCGACTCTTTGCGACCCCATGGACCAGCTCCCTCCAGGTCTTCCGCCATCCTCTGAAGTTTGCTCAACTTCATGTTCGTTGCATCAATGGCACTGTCTAACCATCTCATCCTTTGCCGTCCCCGTCTTCTTTGACCTTCAATCTTTCCCAGCATCAGGGTCTTCTCCAGTGAGTGCTCCCTTCTCATTTGGTGGCCAAAGTATTTTAGCTTCAGTTTCATTATCTGGCCTTCCAGGGAACAGTCAGGGTTGATTTCTTTGAGGATTGACTGATTTGTTCTTCTTGCAGTCCAAGGGACTCTCAAGAGTCTTCTTCAGCACCATAGTTCAAAAGAATCTATTCTTCTGCGCTCGGCCTTCCTTATAGTCCAACTCTCGCAGCCATACATGACTACTGGGAATACCATTGCTTTGACCATGCGGACTTTTGTTGGCAAGGTGATGTCTCTACTTTTTATCATGCTGTTTAGGTTCGCCATCGCTTTCCTCCCAAGGAGCAGGCGTCTTTTAATTTCATGGCTGCAGTCACAGTCTGCGGTGATTTGGGATCCCAGGAACGTGAAGTCTGTCACTACTTCCACGACTTCCCCTTCTATTTGCCAAGGAGTGATGGGGCCGGATGCCATGATCTTAGTTTTTTTGATGTTGAGCTTCAAGCCCACTTTTGCGCTCTCCTCTTTTACCCTGAGCAAGAGGCTCTTTAGGTCCTCTTCACTTTCTGCCATCAGAGTGGTATCGTCTGCATATCTGAGGTTGTTGATCTTTTCCCCCACAATCTTAATTCCTGCTTGTGATTCATCTAGGCCAGCATTTCGCATGATGTACTCTCCATATATATTAAATAAGCAAGGCGACAATATACATCCTTGTCGTACTCCTTTTCCTATGCGAAACCAATCAGTTGTTCCATATCCGGTTCTAACTGTTGCTTCTTGGCCCTTATACAGGTTTCTCAAGAGACATGTGAGGTGGTCTGGTACTCCCATCTC